CATATTCCAGGGATTCCCTCCCCATTCCAGGCTGGGCTCAGCCCAAGTGTTCCACACTGATCCCAATCCCAGATTTTCCCCTGGATTTGGGGTTTTGTTGCTGCTGGAATTTATTTTTTCCCAGATTTTTTCCAATAACCCGGAATTCCATTGGTTTTTCCAGGCTCTCCCTCCCAGGCCGGGCTCTATCCCATCTTTATTCCTGGATCCGGCAGCAGGAGGAGGTGAGATCCCATTCCAGCTTTTCCAGAGGGAAAAAACCTCGGGAGTGGCAGAATTTGGGGATAATCCAGGGTTGGGAATGGCTGGGAAAATCCTGGAATGTTTRGGGATAATCCCTGAAGTGTCTGGAATCAATCCTGGAATGTTTTGGGGGATCTTGGAATATCTGGGGATAATCCTGGAATGCTTGGGATCAACCATGGAATGTCTGGGAGAAATCCTGGAATATTTGGGAACAATCCTGGAATGTTTGGCGGGATCCTGGAATGTCTGGGGGAAATCCTGGAATGTTTTGGGGAAATCCTGGAATGTTTTGGGGGATCCTGGAATGTTTTGGGGAAATCCTGGAATGTTTCAGGGGATAATCCTGGAATGCTTTGGATCAATCCTGGAATGTCTGGGGGAATCCCTGGAATGTTTTGGGAAATACTGGAATGTTTGGGGATAATCCTGGAATGGCTGGGAAAATCCTGGAATGTTTTGGGGGACAATACTGGAATGTTTTGGGGAAATCCTGGAATGTTTCAGGGGCTCCTGGAATGTTTGGGGATAATCCCGGAATGGCTGGGAAAATCCCGGAATGGCTGGGAAAATGCTGGAATGTTTGGGGAAAATGCTGGAATGTTTGGGGGAAATCCTGGAATGTCTGGGATAATCCCTGGAATGTTTTGGGGAAATCCTGGAATGGCTGGGGACAATTCTGGAATGTTTGGGGGGACAATCCTGGAATGTCTGGGGGAAATCCTGGAATGTTTGAGGGAAATCCTGGAATGGCTGGGAAAATCCTGGAATGTGTTGGGACCAATCCTGGAATGTGTTGGGACCAATCCTGGAATGTTTTGGGGATAATCCCTGGAATGTTTTGGGGATAATCCCTGGAATGTCTGGGGATAATCCTGGAATGTCTGGGATAATCCCTGGAATGTTTTAGGGAATCCTGGAATGTCTGGGGGGACAATCCTGGAATGTTTGGGAAAATTCTGGAATGTTTTGGGGGGAAATCCTGGAATGTTTTGGACAATCCTGGAATGTTTGGGGACAATTTTGGAATGTTTGGGATCAATCCTGGAATGTTTTGAGGACAATCCTGGAATGTTTCAGGGGATCCTGGAATGTTTGGGATCAATCCTGGGATGTTTGGGGATAATCCCTGGAATGTTTTAGGGGATCCTGGAATGTCTGGGGGAAATCCTGGAATGTTTGGGGACAATTCTGGAATGTTTGGGGGGATAATCCTGGAATGTTTGGGATCAATCCTGGAATGTTTGGGGGAATCCTGGAATGTTTAAAGGGTATCCTGGAATGTTTGGAGGAAATCCTGGAATGTTTGGGATCAATCCTGGAATGGCTGGGGACAATTCTGGAATGTTTTGGGGACAATCCTGGAATGTTTGAGGGGTTTCTGGAATGTTTTGGGATCAATCCTGGAATGTCTGGGAAAATCCTGGAATGTGTTAGGGTTAATCCTGGAATGTTTGTGGTCAATCCTGGAATATTTGGGATCAATCCTGGAATGTTTGGGGGAATCCCTGGAATGTCTGAGGGAAATTCTGGAATGTTTGGGAACAATCCTGGAATATCTGTTTTCCAGGCCTCTGGACGAGCTCTCATCTCCCTTTGGGATCAGCCCCTCTGGAAAAGCCTCTCCCAGCTCCCAGAAAAGCCGGAAAACCAAGGAATTGTCCCAAAATTCCCAGGATCAGCTGATCATTGTGAGATTCCCATCGGGACCTGGGGCAGGGTGGGAATTTGGGATCAGGAACGAGGAAAATTCCATGGGATAATCCAGCAGGGATTTGATTTATGGGAAATCCATTGGGATTAATGCTGGGAAATCCAATGGATTTGTGGGATAGGATGGGGAAAAACCGGGAATGTGGGGATGGAATGGGGTGGGAAAATGAGGGGCAGCTCCAAGCTGGAATTCTGGGAACTGGAATTTCCTTTTCCTGGAGCTTTTGGGATCATTCCAGGAATCATTCCTTGAGATTTTGGGATCATTCCCAGAGATTTGGGATCATTCCTGGAATCGTTCCTGGAGCTTTTGGGATCATTCCTGAAATTGTTCCCATTCCTGGAGTTTTTGGGATCATTCCCAGAACTTTTGGGATCATTCTTGGAATCATTCCTGGAGTTTTTGGGATCATTCTTGGAATCATTCCTGGAGTTTTTGGGATCATTCCCAGAGATTTGGGACCATTTCTGGAATTGTTCCTGGAATTTTTGGGGTCATTCTTGGAGCTTTGGGATCATTCCTGGAGCTTTGGGATCATTCTTGGAGATTTGGAATCATTCCTGGAATCGTTCTTGCAGCTTTTGGGATCAATCGTTCCCGTTGTTTTTGGGATCATTCCCGTTGTTTTTGGGATCATTCCCGTTGTTTTTGGGATCATTCCCGGAGTTTTTGGGATCATTCCTGGATTTTTGGGTGTCATTCCTTGGCTGCTCTGCCCTCCCCAGATGATTCCTGGCCAATCCCAGAGCTCAGATCCAAACTCTGAATCCTTTTTGAAGGGAGAAATTCCCTTCCCCACTCCCTTTCCCCTTCCCTGGACATCCCCAGCCCCATTCCTGATGTTTTTCCCCAATATTTTCACCGTGTTTTCCCGATATTTTCCCCATATTTATTTTCCCCATATTTATTTTGCCCATATTTTTCCCGATGTTTTCCCCTATATTTTTCCTGATGTTTTCCCCATCAGGACGCGGGCCAGCGGCACTGGGGGGTGCAGCAGTGCGGATCCTGTGGGATGTTTTTCCCCATATTTTCCTGATCTTTTCCCTATCTTTTCCCAATATTTTCCGGATATTTTTCCCAACATTTTCCCGATTTTTTTTCCCCGTCAGGACGCGGGCCAGCGGCAGTGGGTTGCCCAGCAATGCCCATCCTGTGGAATGTTTTTCCCCATATTTTCCTGATCTTTTCCTGATCTTTTCCCAATCTTTTCCCAGTGTTTTCCTGATCTTCTCCCAATATTTTCCCCATAGTTTCCCAATATTTTCCGGATATTTTTCCCAACATTTTCCCGATGCTTTCCCCATCAGGACACGGGCCAGAGGCACTGGGGTGCCCAGCAGTGCGGATCCTGTGGAATGTTTTTCCTGATCTTTTCCCAATCTTTTCCCAATATTTTCCTGATGTTTTCCTGATCTTTTCCCAACATTTTCCCGATGTTTTCCCCATTAGGACGTGGGCCAGAGGCACTGGGGTGCCCAGCAGTGCCCATCCTGTGGGATGCTCCAGCCCCATTCCTAATGTTCCCCCTATGTTTTTCCCATATTTTCCCGATCTTTTCCCAATATTTTCTGGATATTGTCCCGATGTTTTCCCAACATTTTCCCAATGTTTTCCCCGTCAGGATGCTGGCCAGAGGCACTGGGGTGCCCAGCAGTGCGGATCCTGTGGGATGCTCCGGCCCCATTCCCGATATTTTCCCCATATTTTCCCGATATTTTCCCCATCTTTTCCCAATATTTTCCCACTGTTTTCCCAACATTTTCCCAATGTTTTCCCCGTCAGGATGCTGGCCAGAGGCACTGGGGTGCCCAGGATGGCCCAGCAGTGCCCATCCTGTGGGATGTTTTTCCCCATCTTTTCCCCATCTTTTCCCCACATTTTCCCAACATTTTCCCGATGTTTTCCCGGTCAGGACGCGGGCCAGAGGCAGTGGGGTGCCCAGCAATGCCCATCCTGTGGGATGTTTTTTCCCATATTTTCCCGATCTTTTCCCCATATTTTCCCAACATTTTCCTGATGTTTTCCCAACATTTTCCCGATGTTTTCCCGGTCAGGACGCGGGCCAGAAGCAGTGGGGTGCCCAGCAGTGCCCATCCTGTGGGATGTTTTTCCCGATCTTTTCCCAATGTTTTCCCAACATTTTCCCGATGTTTTCCCCATTAGGATGCTGGCCAGAAGCAGTGGGGTGCCCAGCAGTGCCCATCCTGTGGGATGCTCCAGCCCCATTCCTCATGTTCTCCCTATGTTTTTCCCCATCTTTTCCCGATCTTTTCCCAATATTTTCCCAACATTTTCCCAATGTTTTCCCGGTCAGGATGCTGGCCAGAAGCAGTGGGGTGCCCAGCAGTGCCCATCCTGTGGGATGCTCTACGCCCCCGACAGCCCCGAGGATCGGCTGCAGCACCTCCGGTACCACCAACGGCTCCAGGAGGGGCTGCGCTACCTGGTGAGGCGGGAATTCCGGGAATTCTGGGAATAGTGGGAATTCTGGGAATGCCGGGAATATTGGGGATGCTGGGATATTGGGAATGGGGAATGCTGGGAATATTGGGAATGCTGGGAATGCCAGGAATATTGAGAATATTGGGAATGCTGGGAATACTGGGAACGCTGGGAATATTGGGATTTCTGGGAATGCTGGGAATTCTGGGATTATTTGGAATGCTGGGAATCTTGAGAATTCTGAGAATGGGGAATGATGGGAATGCCAAGAATGCTAGGAATGCTGGGAATATTGGGAATTCTGGGATTATTGGGATTGCCAGGAATGCCAGGAATTCTGGGACTATTGGGAATGCTGGGGGTGCTGGGAATATTGGGAATGCTAGGAATATTGGAAATTCTGGGAATATTGAGAATGGTGGGAATGCTGGGGGTGCTGGGAATGCCAGGAATACTGGAAATCTGGGAATATTGGGAATGCTCAGAATGCTGGGAATATTTGGAATGGGGAATGCTGGGAATATTGGGAATACTGGGAATGGGGAATGCTGGGAATATTGAGAATTCTGGGAATTGGGAATGCTGGGAATACTGTGAATTCTGGGAATATTGGGAATGGGATGGGGTGGGATCCCTGCCTCGGGATTCCCACCTGGAATTCTGCAGTTCCCATGCAATTCCCCTGGAATTCCTGGAGGGATCTCGGTCCCTGTGGAGGTGGTGCGGGGGGACAGGAGCAGGGCTGGGAATGGTTGGGATCCAGGGGCTTTTCCCAGCTGGAATTCCCAAATTCCCAATTGAGGCAAACCTGGGAATAGTTGGATTTGTTCTCCAGGGTTTTTCCAGGCTGGAATTCCCAAATTCCCAATCAAGGCAAACCTGGGAATGATTAGATTTGTTCTCCTGGGTTTTTCCAGGCTGGAATTCCCAAATTCCGAGTCCAGGCAAACCTGGGAATTTTGAGTTTCATTCTCCAGGGTTTTTCCAGGCTGGAATTCCCAAATTCCCAATCCAGATGGGGCTGGGAATGGTTGGATTTGTTCTCCAGGGTTTTTCCAGGCTGGAATTCCCAAATTCCCGGTCCAGCAAAACCTGGGAATTTTTGGATTTGTTCTCCAGGGGTTTTTCCAGGCTGGAATTCCCAAATTCCCAATCCAGGAAAACTTGGGAATGGTTGGGATCCAAGGGCTTTTCCAGGCTGGAATATCCCAAATTCCCAATCCAGGGCTGGGAATGGTTGGATTTGTTCTCCAGGGTTTTTCCAGGCTGGAATTCCCAAATTCCCAAATCCGGCCTAAGATTTGACATCCAATGGGATTTGGGATCATTCCAGCCCTGTCCATCCTCTCCAGAACATTCCTGGGAGTGGTTTATTCCCAAAATCCGGAGCAATCCCCATCACTGTCCATCCTCACGGTTTTTTTTGGGATTTTCTCGGCAGGGCTGGAAGAAGGAGCGAGTGGTGGCGGAATTCTGGGATGGGAAAATYGTCCTGATCCTTCCTGAAGATCCCAAATACGCCGTCAGGAAGGTACTGGGAATTCCTGCTGGGATTGGCCTTGGAACTGGGCCTGACCCCAAAATTCCAATGGGATCTGATCCCTAAATCCCAATAGGGCCTGATCCCTAAATCCCAACAGGATCTGATCCCCAAATCCCAGCCCATCCTGATCCCTAGATCCCGATGGCATCTGATCCCTAAATTCCAGGGGCAGCTAATCCCAAAATTCCAATGGGACCTGATCCCTAAATCCCAACGGGAGCTCATCCCTAAATCCCAACAGAGCTGATCCCAAAATCCTAACAGGGCCGATCCTAAAATCCCAACGGGATCTGATCCCAAAATCCCAACAGGGCCTGATCTATAAATCCCAACAGGGCCTGATCCCTAAATCCCAGTGAGATTTGATCTCTAAATCCCAACAGAGCTGATCCCAAAATCCCAACAGGATCTGGTCCCAGAGTTCCAACAGGGCCTGATCCTTAAATTCCAACAGGGCCTGATCCCAAAATCCCAGCCCATCCTGATCGCTAAATCCCAATGGGATTTGATCCCAAAACCCACTGTGATTGGATCCCAAAATCCCAATGGGATCTGATCCCAAAATCCCAATGGGATCTGATCCCAAAATCCCAATGGGATCTGATCCCAAAATCCCAATGGGATCTGATCCCTGATTCCCATCCCGCCTCAATCCCTTAAACCACAATTCCCTGTCCCAACCCATCATTTTTTGGGAACAGATCCCATTTCCCATGAGTTTTCCATCCCATTCCC